GGGGGGGGGGGGGGGGGGGGGGGGGGGGGGGGGGGGTACTCATAGGTACTCATAGTCGTGCATTTCCATAGTCGTTAGACCATTGACCTCGCCGACGGGGGTGGCGAAAAATACAACGATGACTGATCCAACAAACACAAATGAAAAAACCGTCGTGGCGTGAGTTCTGCGGTGTGTATTGAGGGTTCGCCCCTTTGCCTGGTTGGAAAAAAACATCCTCCAAGCTCTAGTCGAGCAGTAGCAGGACGCGATCTGTCTGAATTTCTCGCCGAGTGGTAGGCGTTTGATGTTTTTTTGTGGCAGATTTGTTCTTACGTGCTGCATGCATTCACAGACCTTGCCCCGTTTTTCTGTCTCCGCGGACGAAGTGGAATTAGAGCTTGAAGTGCAGCGGGCACCGCCGGTTGCCATCACCGGTCACCGTATCAGTAGAGGTCCAGGGGGTTCCATAGCGGTACAATACGACCCGCGTTGGCGCGGACACCGCCAGCCCGCTTGGGAATCTAGAGCTAACATCCAGCAGTATGGTAATTGTGTGCACAGGTATTGGGTACGCAGTACAGTACGTCAAGTAGGTGCCGACAATGGGTGCACTATGACTATGATAAGCTTGCCGCCCTAGGCGCGCAAGCTCGCTCCCGTAATTCCCTTTATGTGCCACCAGGATACGCGTTACTGGCTACATGGGAGCGTGGTCTGACCTTCTTGTCGGCGGAGATGAAAGGGGCGCATGTTTACGGGCGGTCGAAGGAAGAGGGCTGGCAGCTGGGGGTGGTGCATCAGGTTTCGAGGGCGCGGGAAGAAGACTTGCCGTGCAACGTCCATTTCGTCGACGTCGACCGGCGCTTCAACGTGTCGCCGTCGCCGGCGAAATATTGTACGGCGGTGGATGGTCCGCCTGGCCCATGGTGCTTTCTGGTGCACATGCGGTCCGGGAGCGTCCGGCGGAACGGGACCTGAGGGGTGCGCTGTGGTGGTGGTTTCGTCGTGGTGGTAGGGGTGCGCTGTGGCGGAGATTTCGTCGTGGTGGACGAGGAGCGCTGTGAAGTAAGTTTTGTCGTGGTGGACGGGGAGCGCTGCGGTGGAGCATTTTCGTGGCAGAAGCGGCGAGCACGTCGGCGCCTTGCGGGATTTTCGTGGTGGTGGGGGGAGCGAGACGGCACCTCGAGGGTTTTTCAAGGTGGAAGGGGAGAGCGAGCCGGCGCTTCGTACGACTGCCTACGACCTCGTCGGCGCTTCGAGCACCTTCAAACGACCCCGTCGGCGCTTTCCGTAACTTCAAAGGACCTCGCCGGCGCCCTTCGATTTCTTTTGTTTGTGGATGTTTAGTGTGTGTTCCGATTTTTTTGTCTTTGGTGTTGCCTTCTGACGCCGATGATGTTTTTTTTTCCGGTGTGGTGTGTCGGTTGTTGCTGTTTGGCTCTGGTGTCTTGGTAGCGACGTGCCGTCCTTTTTCGGGAGGATGAGGGGGAGAAGCGCATGCCATTAAAAAAAATAGCCTGTGTTCGGTAGAAACTTGGGAGTTTGTGCTGAAAATTGGTGGGCTGCCCCGCCTCGAGGAATTTCGGTTCAAATTTTTGGTTGGTTTGTTGGTGCCTTGGTCATTGCGGGTGCTAAGTCGGGGAGTGTTTGAGTCCTCGAAGGGGAGGTTGTCGTGCTTTACTTCTAGGATAGGGGGTCAATGTGTTCCGTTGTGGTTCCACCGATTTCAGGAAGGAAGCGTTTGAAGCTCTTTTTCAACGCGATGATATCGCTCTCATGGTGGTTCAAAGGAATGCCCGCCCGACGGTGGCTTGCCTCCTAGATGTAGTAGATGTAGATTCTGCTGTAGACACTCTTGTCCACGAGCACGTTGAGATGGGAAGGTTGCTTGTTGTTGCAGAAGCGGGTCTGCTACAGGTCTGAGGTGAGGCGGATTGCCCTCAATCTGGGGGCACGCAGATAGCTAAGTCCCGATGGGGTACGTCCTAAGAGGGTATACCTCCTGACGTCCCCCATCTTAATCTAGACCGACTGTGTACCCTATCTGTGCCATACAGCAACATTCCTTAACACTAGCCCACCCTGAAGATCATCTATACAGATTCTATACTCAAATCCTAAGGCCACTAATAGCTGATGATTTAGGATCATGAATCGAAAGATATGACTCTTCACAAGTGTATCCAAAGGAAAGAGGAGCTGTGGGAATATCCCGACTCGACCCCCCACACCACCATTGAGACAAAAGGTGATTCCGATGACGCGGAAACACAGCTAGTGGCGACTCAGTGATAAGGTTATACCCATGGAGGGATATAGCTAGGCAAGATGTGCTGCAAAGCACCATGTTTTAACACAAAAAACCAACTAAATCAATATCAACGCCACACACCACTCTATTTCGCGCGTAAGCGCGTACTACGACTGGAGGAATGAGGGTAGCGACACAAGAGAGTCCAGAATTACTCCCGCAAAATTCAGTGGGACAGGACGACGGGCACGCTACGGCTTAATGCGCTGACCACAAAAGGTAAGACTGAAAGAACGTTCATGGCCAAAACGGAAGAGAGGCGTTAATTGCCACCCCAACCAAACTGCACAATGAAACGTGGAGTCCAAACCATGTAAAACCAATGGCTGGACGAGGCACGAATGATCAAAGTCGAAAATTTAGGCGACTAGCCACCCTATATCTCGCACAGACGGGCGATGATGAAACACAAACACACAACACATAATAAACAGAAAACACATAAACATGCATACAACACTAGAACTCGGGATCTCGACTATGATGATGTAGTCGACGCCAGAAAGTGACGATGGCGGAAAGAAGTCCAGTGAAGTGGGCGATGGCGAACGTCGATGAAGGCCGCAGGAGAAGGGGACGCAAGGGAAAGTCCGGAGCATGGGGCGTAGTCAACCCATCTCGTGATGGCCGGGCTACAGAAACAAAGGTGGCAGTTGGAAACGACGGAACTTGGGGAACTCTTTTTCCAAGTATCCAGAGGCAAACGTCACCGACGAAACGTGGGGAACTCGTTTTCC